AGATTCCTGAAACCCTGGAGCAAAACGCTGTCTTTGGGTTTTTAACCTTGTGGCTATTCATACCATCCTTGACAAAAGAAACTCAACAAAAAACTACCCAATTCTGGAATTGCCAGACTTTCCATTGCTTGCTACTCTAAACCATGCACTGGTAGACGTTAGTCTTGGGTGGTAATGTGAAACATGTAGCATCAGCTTGACCACCAGTTATAAACAGCATCTGACACTCCATTCCATTGACCGTAATGGAATTTTCCTTTGCAGTATCTCACACTAAAGATACTGATGCTGTAATAAGCATTCAAAAATGTCTCTTTTTATTTCTATTTCTCCATTTCTCTCCATCTCCCCTGTTCTTCTTCTCTGCCCTTCGTTTTTTCTTAGTGTGACATGCTTCCTCTATTCATTCACGGGATGAGGGTGTCGCTGTCTGGGGCAGCATTTATTGCCCATCCCTAATTGCCCAGAGGGCAGTTCAGAGTCAACCACGTTGCTGTGGGTCTGGAGTCACATGTAGGCCAGACCAGGTAAGGATGGCAGTTTCCTTCCCTAAAGGGCATTAGTGAACCAGATGGGTTTTTCCTGACAATCGACAATGGATTCATGGTCATTGTTAGACTCTTAATTCCAGATATTTATTGAATTCAAATTCCACCATCTGCCGTGGTGGGATTCGAACCCTGATCCTCAGAACATTATCTGATTCTCTGGATTAACAGTCCAGCGATAATACCACTAGGCCATCGCCTCCCCTATGGTCTCTTTTTCTAACTTCTCTCTTTCTTATGCTGCCTCTTTGTTTGCTGACAGTGAGTTGGGAGGAGAGTGGGACCAGCTTACGAGATTTGCTGGCAACTGAGGCCAATGGTATGGAGACAAGGCTTATCCCTTGAAGATAATGAAGTTTCCTACTGAGTGTGCTGCTCATGTTTGTGAACATTTCTTATTCAGCTATTCAAGCAATGGCTGTAACTCCCAGGTTGTTACCTATTGAAGCATTATTCATGATTAGATGGACTTACAATCCAACTATTAATGTCACTGAGGCAGATGTCCAGGATATTGCACTCCTGTGTTACTTTCATTTAAGAATAGTACGTTCTCTTAAATTATTAAATCTATCTAAATATTTTTATTTCACTGGGTAGATGTTTATCAGCTTGATGTCTGTTAGTGAAGCTAGTAAGTTTTCAGTTATTTTACAGAATGTTAATCCTTAACTAAATTAATGTATCTCTCATTCCACACAGCTCAGTGCTCTTAATGAATTAGCAGCTTCTTGCTCTCATATGCTTAATCAAACTTGAGAACAGTAATACTACAAACATGGTCTCATGCAAATATGTTTGTTTGCCACTTGAGGATCAGCTTGTTATCCAAATATGATGTGTGCTACCCCTTTAAATTATCACATCAATCCAGAAGGAGTAAGATGGATTTAATGCACGATCAAATCCGATGGGAGATAAAGTAATTTTCTTTCTGTCTTCACTGTCGATGTGGGAAGCTGTGTAACCATTTCAGCAGAGTGCTCAGATCAATTACACCCACATCCAGCCATGAGCAGCCTACAGCCTAAAATCCCTCATCTCCAACAACCCGCTTAATGAGCATGAATTATATTCATTAAGCTTTAATTTTCACTATCAGTTATTTTTGTGACATAATTTATTAAGGTTGAGCAGGTCATTTTGTTTTAACATTCATTCTTGTTTGTTTCTTAAAGTTGACAATGGTAAACTTGGTCAGATTGTCAAGTTGATAATCTCCACACAGCCTGCTTTCAAGACTTAATGTTGCAAAAACTGTTGATGCTTAATAAGCAACAGTATTCCTAGAAAGGTACTTTGGGAATCTAGGGCTGCTACATTGGAAAATTGTAACTAATGGCAGGTATGTGCAAATTCAGCACTACCCAACTATGATCTTTTGTTTCCTCCACATCTGTTTCAGTAAAAATGTGCCAAGAGTAATATAGGAACCATCAGACCAATGTTATTTTTAATGCATCCTAAACATCTCACCAGTATGTAATGCATAGTGCCATTTAATTTTGGTAAAAATGAGGTGATGGGAGATAATAAATTTCAACCCCTCCAAAATGTTACTAATGTAAAAATCTACTCTGTAACTGTCGACTAAAAGTTTAGTCTCAGAAACTTGACATTTATATAAATATATCCTGTAGAGTTTGTTCTGTGTTAAAGGTCAACCTTCTGGAATTATTTTTTCAGTATCTGGGAGAAATTTCACGCCCTGTTTTAAAGCAGGAATGAAGTATTATTGGGCCTAACATCATACAACACTCCTGCCTGTTCTAGCCAGTGACCAGTCTGACTTGATTTTGGAGTAAGCCAGACAGAAACACAATCAAAATTTGCAGAACAGGGTGCCATCTCATATTTAGCAATCCCAAGCACTTTTGATTTTCCCCCAGTCAGATTGCACCACCTTCCCTCAACCTATATCAAGGAAATGAACATCGAACAGCTAAACCCAGCTAGCACCTTTGTCGGAATTGCCCCAAAGCAGATACCTAACTGCCAACACTTAATCAACCAAAAACGGTGCATTCATACAGCATCTTTAACATAGGCGCTTCGCTGGAGCATCTTGAAGCAAATTAACACTGAGCTAAAGAAGGCGATATTAGGGTCACTGACTAAAGTCTTTGCCGAAGATGTACATTTTTGGAAGACCCTCGAAGGAGCAGAGTGAGGTACAGAGATTTAGGGAGAGAATGCCAGAGCTTTGGGTTCAGACAGCTGAGGTCATGCCTCAAGGAAGCAGGGTGATATGTAACAGACCAGTGTTGGAGGAAGAACATGACGAATAGAAGCAGATGTAGATCTTTGGCCCTCTGAGCTGTCTCCTCTATTTACTCAGATATTGCTGATTTCAGTCTCTGCTGTATAGTGATTGGAACAAGGCAAGGCAGGTGAATCTCATGGAATATGATTTCCCTGATTGGGGTTGTAAACCTGTCCAATCAGGGAGTCCTGGCTGGCAGATATAAACAGGAGTATCTGGGTCTGCTCCTGGGCCTGGCTGAGTGGGCCATGGAAGGGCTTGTTATGGCCGACTGTCTTCCCCTTTTCTGTGGCTGTTTTCATGCTTGGGTGTCCCTGGAGAAGGAGCACACGGTACCCACCAATACTCTCGATACCTTTTGGGAGATGTGGGCGCCGCGGGTTGTGTAGTGTCTTATCTCCCCCTCCAATTCCTTTTTGATTTGATCCCTACCCTCCCCCTCACTTTTTTTTCTTTCACGTAGGCTTTGCCCCTAGGGGCTCTGCTTGATACTGATTCTTTGGTCTCATGGGTGTTTTTCCTGGTGGTGGTAGTTAATAAAGTTGTTTGCAAAAAAAACAAGCAGGAGTGTCAAGATTGTAGGACTTGGCTCTGAGCTAGCTGGGTCAGTGCCATATACTGTGCACGTGCTAATAAAGGGTGAGTTGGTGATGGGAAGCTGGCATCCGTGGTGTTATTTCAGTGGCTACCAGAGTGGGAGTAATGATGTGATTATGCCAAAGCACCTATTAACTGAAGCCCAACTGGACATCGAACAGGCACTACAACTGGCTTTGTCATTGCAAAATGCAGCAAGTGGAGCTTATGAGTTACAGGGTAAGCCGGTGGAAGTGGACAGTTTTTCCAGGCCGACTGAGCTTCGAGAACACCACTTGAGTGAAGTCAATTGCATAGCCTCACTCAGGACGTATCCTAAACGGAGGGACCCTAGGTCAGCCCACAGCAAAACCCCAAAACAAAGTCAAGCCTTGGTCAAACGGTTAGAATTTCCTCGAGGATCCGGGCTGGTAGGCCATTGTAGTTGCTACCGGTATGTGGATTCGAGACAGCGAAAGAGTCCCACCAGGGCTGAATTGAGTAAGAGAATTCATAGGCTGGTTTCCAGGAGAATGCACACCCTGGAAAGTCCACCTACACGTGCAACAGTTAAATTGCTTAGCAACATCCAAATCAAAACCAAAATAAACATCTTGGTTAAACAGTTACCCAGTTCTAATGGATGTTGATACTAGTGCAGCTATATCAGTGATTGGAGAACCAGTCTTCACCAAAATTCGCTCTGGAATCTAACTGTTAAGTTTGCGTAAGACTTGCGCTAGGTTGAGAACCTATACTCGGGATCCCCTGTAGATTAAGAGTAGAATTTCATTTCCGGTCTCTTCTTTGAAGCAGCTGGTTCAGTTACCACTGACTGTAGTAATAGGTCAAGGCCCAAGCTGATGGGGTGAAATTGGTTGAGAAAGATTCAACTTGATTGGCCCAACATTTCTTGATTAGAACATGGCTGCCTGAGTGAATTCCTAACAAAATAGCCAGAAGATTTTCAGGAAGGTCTAGGGACTATGAGAGGAGCTGAGACCTCCTTGCATGTTGACCAGGCAACAATTCCGTGAATCTGTGAGGCCCTCCCAGTATCGTTTGCCTTGTGCGCTAATGTAGAAGCAGAAATTAGGAGGCTAGAAAGCAAAGGAATCATGGGCAGCACCGGTCGTACCAATTGTGAAGCCCGATGGCTCGCTTCACCTTTGTGGGGACGTCAAACAAATGGTGAACCGCTTTTTGCAGCTCGATGAATACCCAATCCCTTGCATAGAGGACCTGTATGCAAAACTGGCAGAGGGGGCTGTCCTTCACAGAACTAGACATGAGCTATGCGTACCTGCAGTTGTGGTTGGATAAGGATTCCCAGAAATATTCTACAGTGAATACCCATAAAGGTTTGTACCAATGTACAAGATGGCTATTTGGGGTATAACCAACCTGTGCCATTTTGAGTGGATGATGGAGAACACAAGGTCTACCTCAGGTTGCTATTTATCTGGATGGCATGCTAATGATGAGAAGACTAATAAAGAACATTTGGAGAACTTGGACACAACACTTAAATGTTCCCCCAAGGCAGGGGCATGCCTTCGGAGGGAAAAATGTGTGTTCCAGGCTCTCCAAGTGACCTTTTTTTTGTGCTACAGAGTTGAGAAGACCAAGTTATACCTGTTGGAAGATAAAGTGAGGGTGATCAAAGGTGTCCCGGCTGCCATGTCGGTACTGGAGCTTAAGTCCTTCCTTGGGTTGGTAAATTATTACAGAAAGCTAATATGTAACCTGGAATCCCATCCTGGCATCCCAACGTTTGCTGTTGAAAAAGGGTCAGCCTTGAAAATGGTCTCGGAGCCAAGATGTGGCCTTTAGGGGAATAAAGAAGCAGGTTGTGAAAAAGTAACAATCCAAACGATCTTTTTTTTTGTCTGTTCCCAACTTGACAGTCAAGACAGACTGGAAGCACAAGTAGAATCTGGATAGCACCTCCCACGGTGTTTCTGCCCCCAGAACTTCCAGTTATGATCCCAAAGGAGACCTAATTTGCTTCCAGGCATATTGCAAAATTCTGCACCTCTATGAAGCAAATGGAGGGGAAAAGCAAGATTACCATCACTACCGATTGATCCTGAACTTGAGCATCATATTCCATTGCTAAAGCAACTGTGATTGATTCTTTTCCAGATCCAGCCCGAAGGCAGACTGAAATATGTCACAGAAGTCAAGCAGTGCTTGTTATTTTAAAACACTGGATAGATGCTTAACTTTGAAAAATAATGAGCAACAACCAAACTGTTGTTGCTGTCAGCAGAGGGTCAGTTAGAATAACAGGTCTCCCATTTGGTAAATGACAAGTATCCGAGAGCTCAAACCCCCTCGAAAGCAAAATATCTTGAGGGTAGATGTCTTTAATTTTTAATATGCTCCATGGCTCATCCAAAGCTGAAAGCACTTAAACAATTGGAATCTTGCACGTGGCCATAGCTCTGAGGAGAAGAAGGTAGTCAGCAATTAAAAGTATGTCGTATATTTTGATTTGTGAAAAAATCCATGCTTATGAGGCAAAAAGCTAGTAACAAAAAATTGGCACTTTGTATCTTAATGTTGTACATTCAAACTTGTCACACATCATATCATTCCAGTCTCTCTCATAGAGTCATAGAGCTGTACAGCTCAGAAACAGACCCTTCAGTCCAACTCGTCCATGCTGACACAATATCCTAAATTAATCTAGTCCCATTAGCCAGCATTTGGTCCACATCCCTCTAAACCCTCCCTATTCATGTTCCCATTCAAATGCCTTTTTAATGTTGTAATTGTACCAGCCTCCATCACTTCCTCTGGCAGCTCATTCTATACATGCACCATCCTCTGTGTGGAAAATGTTGCCCTTTAGGTCCCTTTTTATATCTTTCCCCTTTCACCTTAAACCTATGCCCTCTAGTTTTGGACTCCCCTGCCATGGGATAAAGATCTTGGCTAGTCACCTGATCCACACCCATCATCGTTTCATAAACCTGTATAAGGTCACCCCTCAACCTTCGACACTCCAGAGAAAACAGCTGCAGCCTATTCAGCATTTTCCTATAACTCAAATCCTCCAACTCTGGCAAATTCCTTGTAAATCTTTTCTGTACCTTTTCAAGTTTAACAACATCTTCCCTATAGTAGGGAGACAAGAATTGAACACAGTATTCCAAAAGTGACCTAACAAGTGTCCCGTACAGCTGCAACATGACCTCCCAACTCCTGACCTCCCAACTCCTATACTCAATGCACTGACCAATCAATGCAAGTGTACCAAATGCCTTCTTCATCACTTTGTCTACCTGTGACTCCAACTTCAAGGAGCTATGAACCTGCACCCCAAGGTCTCTTTGTTCGGCAACACTCCCCAGGATGCACCATTAGGTGTGTAAGTCCTGCCCTGGTTTGCCTTACCAAAATGCAACACCTCACATTTATCGAAATTAAACTCCATCTGCCACTCCTTGGCCCATTGACCCATCTGATCAAGGCTCCTTCCTATTGTCATTTCCCACTCTGGTGGCTTAACCTGTTGGAAACCAATCATCCCTTTCTAATGTGAGAGTAGTCCTGTGGTCTGGTGAGACAGTGGAAACTTTGCCTTTACCTTTTATTTTACAGCCTATTCTATTCATGAACTTGTGAATTAGGAGCTGAATTAGATCGTTCAGGCCCTCGAGCTGCCATGCCATTCACTAAGATCATGGCTGACCTGGTTACACCCCATACCTGCCTGCCCCGACAACTGTCTGCCCCCTTCCAGTTCCTGCCCAGCCCTGCCTGCTAAGACAAAGTGATTGTATCTCATCACTACTCACAGGTTCTGTATTCTCCTTTCACCATCTCCCCTCTTCCCCTGGAGGTCCTGCATCTTGTTAACATAACCCCACTACAGCAGAAACTCAAGTTCTGAGGAGTAACTTTTTCACACAAAGGGATGGTGTGTGTATGGAACGAGCTACTAGAGGAAGTGGTGGAGGCTGGTACAATTACAACATCTAAAAGACATCTGGATGATACTTGAATAGGAAGGGCTTAAAGGGATATGGGCCAAATGCTGGCAAATGAGAGTGGATCACTTTAGGATATCTGGTCAGTCTAGACGAGTTGGACCAAAGGGTCTGTTTCCATGCTGTGTAGCTCTATGACTCTGACAGTTCTTCCCTTCTGTGCTTAAACAGTGAATCTTATCAGAGTGGAGGACAACCCTCCTATCACCCAATGCCCATACCCAATACCCATTCCTCAGACGACATGTCCATCCTGGGCCTCCTGCAGTGCCACAACGATGCCACCCGAAGGTTGCAGGAACAGCAACTCATATTCCGCTTGGGAACCCTGCAGCCCAATGGTATCAATGTGGATTTCACAAGCTTCAAAATCTCCCCTCCCCCTACGGCATCCCAAAACCAGCCCAGCTTGTCCCCACCTCCCTAACCTGTTCTTCCTCCCGCCTATTCCCTCCTCCCACCTCAAGCCGCACCCGCATCTCCTACCTACTAACCTCATCCCGCCCCCTTGACCTGTTCGTCCTCCCTGGACTGACCTATCCCTTCCCTAACTCCCCACCTACACTCACCTTTACTGGCTCCATCCCCGCCTCTTCAACCTGTCTGTTTCCTCTCCACCTATCTTCTCCTCTATCCATCTTCTATCCGCCTCCCCCTCTCGCACTATTCATTTCAGAACCCCCTTCCCCTCCCCCATTTCTGATGAAGGGTCTAGGCCGGAAACGTCAGCCTCTCTGCTCCTATGATGCTGCTTGGTCTGCTGCGTTCATCCAGCTCTGCACCTCGTTGTCTCGGATTCTCCAGCATCTGCAGTTCCTACTATCTCTCTCCCACCCCAAAAATCAGTCCTGGACTGCTTTGTGTGTGCTCTCATTCCCTCTTCACAAAGTAAAGTTTTGTAGCACCTGTATTCTGGACTGACTGACTTCACAATCCATTTATATTCAGTCAGTGCACAAACCTGTTGTGAAACCACCTGGGCCGTTCTTGGCCTCAATGGTCCTGTTTTTTTGAAAAAATACTATTTTATGATCAACCTATTCACCTTTCTGGGAACTGGATCTCCTGGCTCAAAGGTAGGGATGCTATTACTGCATCGCAATAGACCTTCACTGCTCTAGCTTAACATCCTGTCCTACCCTGCAGAGCTGAGGGCCTTCCTCAGCAGGAAGGACACCCTCGCGAGTGCTACTTTCAAAGGACTATTAATTATTGTCAAATTTGTTATTGATTGATTTCGGCGCCTTCTGCAGAATCTGGTCGATTCTACTGTTAACGGCAGCTGCTGAAATATGTAGGGCGTAGTGTAATATGGGGCGATGCATTGGTTCTGTCTTTAAGGTTTCTGCTCAGACCACTTGCTCCTTGGCACGGTCTCAGTAGTTTTTATATTCTTTCACTTGCAGCATATCACCGAACCTAAGCAAAGGTGACACAGCGGGGAACCAAGCTGATCAAAGAGGAATGGGAGTCGGAGGAGGTTTCTCAGCAGGAGCCTGTACCTCTCGCATGTCCATAGGCAGTCTCAGTGAGAAACACTGTTATGGGACTTCCCCAGGTCACTGAGAAGATCCCAGTTGACGTCTTGCTGAAAACTCTTACCATGATGAGGCAGACTACCAGGATCATTGATGATGACGGTTGTAGTCAGTTATTTTCCTCGAGACTAACTCCGTCCAGCCTGGAGGAGCTAATGTTTCCCATGTCTCCAGTTTACCATCCACTGTTGTGGGAAGGAGGTCACTGACGCCCTGTGGGTGGCATGGTGGCTCAGTGGTTAGCACTGCTGCCTCGCAGCACCAGGGACTCCGGTTTGATTCCAGTCTCAAGCAACTGTCAATGTGGAGTTTGCACATTCTCCCCGTGTCTACGTGGGTTTCCTTCTGCAGCCCAAAGATGTACAGGTTAGGTGGATTGGCCATGCTAAATTGACTGTACTATCCAGGGATATGCAGGTTAGGTGGATTAGCCATGGGAAATGCAGGATAAAGAGGATTAGGTAGAGGGGTGTGGATCTGGGTGGGGTGCTGTTTGGAGGTTCGGTGCAGAGTAAATGGGCCGAATGGCCTCTTTCCATGCTGTAGCGATTCTATGATTCTACGAATCTATAAGGACGTTCCAACCACCCAGCTCCTGCCTGTGATTGTACATCACCTTGTTCTGCAAGAGTCAGAGAGAGAGAAGTATGCAGCTGAGTGTGTGAAGTGGCTGTTAAGATTGAATAGTGTGTGTTTAAGCTGTAAGATGCAAGTGTGAAGCTTGCAGCCTTAGTGTTTGAGAGTGAAGTAAGCCTTTGAATCAGCATTACACGCCAACAGACACACAATGCTGGAGAACCTCAACAGGTTTGGCAGTATCTGTGCAGAGAAAGCAGATTTGATGTTTCAAGTCCAGTGATGCTGCTTCAGAACAGTTTTTCCAGCAATGTCTGATTTTGTTTCAAATATTCTGGCATCCACATTTCTTTGTTCTGTTTTAGAGTACACTGCACGGCAGTCATGTGCTCCCCCTGGCTTCTCAGTGTCTGGTAGGCATTGCAGTCCCCTCTCCTTCTCTTGCTGTGACAGAGAACATTGGAGCACGCCCTCTGTCCTGATGTGTCATTTTTAGAATTCTTCCTTGGTTACTTCCAGTAACTACTGCAGCCTGAGTGCAGTTTCCGCTTTCGTGATGTAGGTTGGCTTTAGGTTTTGTTGGGTACGTTGATGTGGTACCAGCCTTGCTCACCATTGAATCAAGCAGCTGCTCAACAGCATTTTCGGTGCTGGTTGTGTATCATAATCATGGTCTTGAGGAGGTCATATTAATCTCAGTGCTGCCTGCACTGGAGGGAAT